AGCGAGATCAAGTTGGCATTGATTTTACATTCGACTAGCGTTATAATGACAACATAAGTTACACTTTGGTTAATATTTACAATAATCATGAGAAATCAAAGTATGTAAGAGTATATGAAACAGAAAATTATTATTTATTGGCCAAGACACATTTGTACAATTTCACCGTGACGTCATAATCGAATTCACGATGGCTCTACATACACTGATCTAACTTTGGGTAACCCTTAACCTAGTTGCGTACATAATATAAAAGTTTTAAGATGAAATTGTGAATCAATAGTTAACAGGGAATTAGTACATAAAAGAGAAGATATTTGTGGTATTTTTACATATGGAACATTTTCCTCATATTTAAAAACACATTTGAATATTGTGCTTACTTTCCACTTGTCCCTAGTGTTTTGTCATAAAAGTTAATGCCATTTTTGTGAGAACAACAAATCTCCATTAGTAGTTTATGTGCCAATTTTACTACCATCTCTTTGTCTTCACTGGAATGTGTTCCAAGCTGAAAATTTTTGTTAGCATATTACATCAACTATAAGTGCAGCTTGTTTCATTGTCTTCAATTCAATAAATTTTGATATTGAATTCCAAAAACAAAGATTTTATGCAATACTGAGATTCTGCATACCTCCTCTATGTCATCTGTGATAGTTCCCTCCCCTTGTTCCGGATGACCTGTCCATTTATAGAGCTGACAGATCTGACCCAGGGAGTAGTCATTAAACAGCCGCAACTTCTGAGTTTTTGTAATGGCTTCATTCTCAACAACCTGTTGTGTTAATAGGCACATTAAAATTCATGGAGTTTTTGCTGCCTTTTTAACAAAATGTTAATCATCAGCAAAAAAAGTTTTACAATATAAGCTAGAATTCTTTAATTATTCTTTAATTACCTTTTCCAATAGTGTATTTAAGATCAGTTTAATGTTTGCAGCTTTATCCTTTGTCAGACCAGTGAACAAGGAGTTCAAAAATCCTGAAAAAATAAATAATCAGATATTACAAACAATATTGATAAAAAAGAAAATTAAAATTAATTTTCAATAAATGCAAATGCAGACTTAATATTTCTATACAGACAGAGACTAATATATTTTTTCTGCCAATTTAAGAATAGTTATTCATAAATGTACTAATGATAATATTTGAAGATAAAAAAAAAAGTTGGGGGGACCCAGAGACTTTAGGTATATAGAGGGTGATAGTCCATTGTGTTGAGCTTACAGTGGTGTGAATAAACCAGAGATTTGAGAATACTGACCTTTGATGTTTATAAGCTGCTGTATGACAGAGTCACTCCCCACCAGAAGAAAAGCCATAATAAAGAGAATCAGGCATGTCCTTACGTCCTGTGGATCCTGTTAGAAATATATCAGTCACAAAACTCTACTAGATAAAATGTAACTAAAAAACAAGAGGCCCAGGGGCTACAGAGCTCACCTGAGAACATCGGCTAGGAAAAAGCTCATATCAGAATTCAGATCAGAACTGAAAGTTTACTGAGGTGTGTAGGGGGGGGGCTTGAATTATACCCCCCCACCCACCCCCCGGGGTTCATGATTTGAACGTAATAGAATCTACACTACCTGAGGATGATTCCATATAAATATCATTAATCATGGCTTTGAAGTACTTGAAAAGAAGATTTCAAAAGGTATCCCTATATATCCCTATGTAAAACTTGGGTTGGCCATTTTGGCCCCACCCTAGTCCTGGGGGTCATGATTTGAACAACTTGAATCTACACTACCTGAGGATAATTCCACATGAGTTTCATCTTTCCTGGTCCAGTGGTTCTTGAGAAGAAGATTTTTGAAGATTTTTCCTAAATATTCCTATGTAAAACGTGGGTCGGCCATTTTGGCCCCATCCTAGCCCCCTGGGGTCATGATTTGAACAAATTTGAATCTACACTACCTGAGGATGATTCCACATGAGTTTAATCTTTCCTGGACCAGTGGTACTTGAGAAGAAAATTTTAAAAGATTTTTCCTATATCTTCCAATGTAAAACTTGGGTCAGCCATCTTGGCCCCACCCTTGCCCCGGGGGTCATAATTTGAACAAACTTGAATCTACACTACCTGAGGATGATTCCACATGAGTTTCATCGTTCCTGGTCCAGTGGTTCTCGAGAAGAAGATTTTTAAAGATTTTTCCTATATATTCCAATGTAAAACTTGGGTCGGCCATTTTGGCCCCTCCCTAGCCCCGGGGGTCATGATCTGAACAAACTTGAATCTGCACTACCTGAAGATGATTCCACATGAGTTTCATCTTTCCTGGACCAGTGGTTCTGGAGAAGAAAATTTTTAAATATTTTTCCTATATCTTTCAATGTAAAACTTGGGTCGGCCATTTTGGCCCCACCCTTGCCCCGGGAGTCATGATTTGAACAAATTTGAATCTACACTACCTGAGGATGATTCCACATGAGTTTCATCTTTCCTGGTCCAGTGGTTCTTGAGATGATTTTTAAAGATTTTTCCTAGTATATATTCCTATGTAAAACTTGGGTCGGCCATTTTGTCCCCACCCTGGACCCGGGGGTCATGATTTTAACAAACTTGAATTTACACTACCTGGGGATGATTCCACTAGAGTTTCATCTTTCCTGGCCCAGTGGTTCTTGAGAAGAAGATATTTTAAAAATGCCATTAATTTTTCTCTAATTCATAATTATCTCCCCTTGGAAAAGGGCATGACCCTTCATTTGAACAAACTTGAATCCCCTTTACCCATACTTTGTAGCAAGTTTGGTTGAAATTGGCCCAGCTGTTCTTGAGAAGAAGTCAAAAATGTGAAAAGTTTACAGACAGACGGACAGATGGACGCCGAACAAAATGTGATCAGAAAAGCTCACTTGAGCCTATGGCTCAGGTGAGCTAATAAGAAAATAATCAAAAACAGAAATATCTGTAAACTTTCAAAGCAGACAACAGTGTTTTTTCTCGAGAACCAGCTACCAGCCAAATTAACTGCTTCAGTTGAAAAGATTCTGATTCCACATACAAGTAATTGTTGTAATGTCCATTTTGCTTATAAAACTTAACCTCTTAGCATGTTTCAAATGATCTCTGGCATTTTACTTTGAAAAAAGGCAACAATTATATGTGCATCCTTTTCTATAATAATCTGCCAAAGAGGAATTGTTTTAAGTTCTTGTTAAAATTACATGATTCTATTTAAATTTATCCACCAATGATATCTATTTGTCTAACCTTGAAGTCCCTCCTATTGAACAAAGACTGGATATGTTTGTGGGAGGTGTCTAGCTGTGAGAGTAGCGCCTTGGCCCCGCTTTCTCCCAGCATCACCAGAGCTCCCAGCATCCTCAGGGCGGTCTTCACAGCTGACGCCCTCACCTGAGGTCCCAACATAAAGTAAACAGATGGCATGCCCACAGACAAGATCTTCTGAAGAATGACTTTACCAACAGGAGCATGCTTGGTTAACCTCAGGTCATCTAAAAGGCGGAGCAGTATGGCCTCTAATGCACCAAAGATGCTGTGTAGCTTAAAAAAAAAAAAAAAATAAATTAGAGTTACATTGTAATAGCTGGCACTATTTTAAAAAAAATAAATTTAAATATTTTTGAATTTACTCAAAAGATATAAAATTTTATATTTTATCATTACTGAGTACATGTTTAGTGCAATGAGTCAATCAAATAATCATCAATATTAAAATATTATGAATTTAAGGGACATAATTTATACAATTTTTCATATGAATCTGCAATTATCTATATCTGAATTGGATAAATTTGGACAGAAAAGTTTTATGTCAGATGTACCTCTTTCTCCTTTCTCTTGCCCCCGTCTAGCAGCTGCAGTATCTCGGTACACTCCGGTGACGACCTACAGTACCCCGTCACAATGTCATACTCACTGCTGTCTATACCATGTTCCTCTGCCTGCTTGACAAACTTGTCCAAAGCTAAAATTAATTAAAACACAATCAATTACTGATCTTAGGATAGCTGCAGATCTGTAGCTCACTGGTCTTAAAAATTAGTATGGCTTACTTACTACTAGATCTAGAGGTATGCATGCAGTGTGTGTCACCCATTGAAAAAAAGTGTATTATTTATTGTGCACAAAAAAGTGTACTGTTTCTCAATTCATATATATACATTATATATAATTTGAATTAAAGATATATAAATGTAACCGGAGAGGAGAAAAATGCAACGGATCAGACTGGGATTTGAACCTTGTGGCCCCCTGTATCTCTACCGACTAAGCTGTCTGACCATCAGCGATGGAGAAATGACCAACGCATGGAGAACATACATGGGGGGGGAGGGGGGTATCAAGAATTTGTAAGGATTGTAAAGTTAAATTAAAATTAAAAAACATTTTCTTTACGGGGAGTGAACCACATGAATGTCAATTTTGTATGCATTAAACCGTTTGCCCCCTTTATGCTGGGCTATGGCCAAATGTATGGTCTCAGATTTAATACAACACTGACTGATGAATCTTTCAAATTGTGGTGGTCAGCTAGGTTCGATTGCCAGTGGCCAGATGCCTCAGCCAGGATAGCATCCCAGTCTGGTCTGCAGCATTTTTCTCCTCTCCAGTTACATTCAGGGATAAGCCTGGGTTAGGGTCTTTGGAGGTCCAAAGATCTTGAAGGAAGGAGGAATGTGACACTCAGGCATTTTGGATCACCAGTGGCCAGATAGCTCAGTCAGTAGAGCACCTGAGTTGAGATTCAGGTTCCAGTCCCGTTCTTGTCTGCTTACATTTTACTCTTCTCCCATTACATAATACTAATCCTGAACTTAAAATAATATTAATTAACACAAAAATATGAGTCCATGTATAAACATTTATAAATATTTATACCCCCTGCTTGAAAAGTGGGAGGGTATATAGTAATTGTTATATCCGTCAGTCCGTCTGTTATCCTTTGGGGTACCCATCTCTTATCCACAACTCCTCTTATACTAATGAGTAAAATTTGATGCAACTTTGAATTCACAGAATCTTTATTACATATTGCCATTGTGCACCTCCTATTTTACTTTTTTATTCGACACGTTTCCCATAGCAAAACATGGACATTGCCATTATATTCTTACCTATGACATAGTGCATATGGCGGCTTCTGAATAACATTTGATAAGACGAGTTATTCCTCTTTACACATTACCGTAAAAAATATATAGTAATTAAACATGGACATTATGGGAGGCGGGGGGTATCATTTAGTGAGCTCATTGCACGTAGTGCATGCTCACAGTACCTCTAGTTTATTTGTTTTTAGTAAGGAAAACAACAAATATCAGATTAAACAACTACAGTTTGATAAACTTTGGGAACTTTTTTCCCCTGTCCAACTTCATACCTCTAATATGGAATATTCCCCCATGCATTAGTCAAATGAGCTAATCCCTCCTTCTTAAGCTAATTCCCCAGTTATACGTATTCCTCTAGATTTAATTTTGTATCAGTATCTGAGTTCAATATATTAATGAACTAATCCCTGTGCATAAGTCCGGAAGCTAATTCTTTCCTGTCATGCGTTATCCTGCATTTTTTTAACTTCTGTATTGGTATAATAAAACAGTTAAAAAATATTGAGGAAGTTGCAGCAAGATTCCAGTTCCCCTCGACCTGGACTATTTCCCTTGCTGCGCCCTGGGTCATAGTCCTGGCCTTGGGGGAACTGGAATCTTGCTAACTCCCTCAATGATATACTATAACTGTATATCAATTCACAAAGAAATTTTACAAAATGTGCCCTATTCACCAATGTTTATGATCCTGTTGAGTGTGTATATACCAGAGACATATAAAACCATATATGTCTCTGGTATATACATACCTAAAAATGTCAGGTTTGGATCCCTAAGCTCAAATTTAAATCTGATTTCTGTATATTTCTCATCCTCTTGTTTTTTCTTTTTGGTGGTAGACTCGCTTCTTTTTTTATCTGTATTCTGTTTTCTTTTTTTCCCCGATAAAATTTTCTCTTTCATATTTCATTCCAACATGTGCCATGTGTTTACTTCTTAAATTCGGAACTCTTCTAAGTTTATCATATATGTCCATCAAATGGATTTTCCAATGATAAATCTAAAGAGGTTCCGAAAAAGACCACACCGAATGATGACGTAATACACGCGAAAATAGGATATACACAATCACAAGAGGCGAAGTCATCTTCTATTTACATTTCACAATAGATTTTTACATGCTTAGTTTCTGATTGCTGGGGAAAAAGATCGGCCATAGCTTCAAAATGTCTATGGACAGTATCCTTTTGTTCAAAATAATTCATATCTTAGGTGGTAAGTGATAAAAACGCCAAATATATTGTTGCTCATATCTTCCTGAAACATAACAAGCTAGCTTTATAATGTTTTTTTTTCATATTGAATAACACGTTATGTATTGAAAATATGTTTCAGATTATTAATGTTCTTAGCTTTAGTGAGCTAGATCTTTTTTTCAGAGGATTGAAGCTTAAAACTTTTAAATCAATCACCAGAGATTTGGACAGAATTGTACAGTATTTTAACTGTATTGGCACATGTAAGTAAATTAGTAATGTAGACTTAGTAGAGTGATATTTTATTTTAAATTCAATTACTTTGCTGTCTCAGAAAATGGGTTTCCACCTAATATGATAGTAAGAATTAGCTGCAGAATTGGTGTAGCTCAATCTTTGTTCAAGAAATCTGGGCAGACAAACAAGGGAGCTACAGTTCGGTTCCATGTTCATTCGCCCTAAAAATTGTTCACCCAATTTCCCATTCGCCCATAGTCCGCTCACCCTAAAACTTGTTCGCACAGAGTCCCTTCGCCCTAATTTAATGTAGAATAAAATCTAACGATTTTTTTTCCAAATTTTTGGTACATTCGAATTAAAACAGACCGTCAGACATTATTCATATTGTCACAAATGGTCACACTAAATACATGACCTATCAAAGACCTGACAGACCTGTTTGGAGATTTTTTTTTTTTTGAGATCACAGGGAGATTCTTCAAAGGTAAATTAACCTTCAACATCCGCCGTTCAGTTCTATATTGGACCTATTATTGTCTACGTCCTTTTATTGTTTTCAAAACATAGCGCAATTTGTAAAAATAACACGGATGTGTCTGCCCCTAATTAACATTGATATTAATCATATTAATCAGCTAATTAACTATAGTGCAAACACTAAGTCATTCAAAAAACATTAGAATCAAATCAAAAATTAATTAAGACTAAATAAACATTGTTCCTCATATCAGAATTTGAGAAAAAATATCACATGTTCGTTAAGGAAATAAATTGAAAAAATGTTATATGCTATTTTTTAATTCATATGAGTTTATATATACAAGTATATATAAGTATTGGGCAAACTACGTATAGGGCGAACAAGATATTGGGCGAAAAATATTTCGGGCGAATGGACCCTGCGCGAATGGACTCTCACGAACAGGTAGATCGGGCGAATGAACCCGTTACCCTACAGTTCCAAGCAGTAATTTAAAATAAAATCCTTTGATTTATGGGGATGTTTTATTGTCACTCGTTTTAGCTATTTTTTCATGTACTATCCATTATATGCTATCCCCTGCTTAAATTATGATATCTGTTTTGTTACCAATCATTTTTCTCCTATTACTGACACTTTATTTACTTTAAATAAGGGCTCTATACCCCATCATGACTTCAGAATGCTAATATTAAAAGCTGACATTCAAAGGCCCCAAAATGAAAGGACCTGTTTTTAGTAGTACAATGAAGCGCATTGAAGTGGTAAAATTTTCCGTTTGGATGGATCGTTTTGAGCTATCTTAAGACAAGCCCATTTCTTTAGAAAGGAAAAATTGGTCAAATGATTCAATCGAATACCTGTAGAACAGGTATTCTAAAAATATGATAGCTAATCAAATTGACGGTCCACTTAAACAGAGAGTAAGCACATGTTCGACTGATACATATGTTATGTTAACTCCAATATACATGATAAAATCATAATTATGTACAAATTCATTGCAATGCGTGTTTTACAAAAGCGGGGACTCTATAATATAGTTTTTAGCTCACCTGAGCCGAAGGCTCAAGTGAGCTTTTCTGATCACATTTTGTCCGTCGTCCGTCCGTCTGTCTGTCCGTCTGTCCGTCTGTAAACTTTTCACATTTTCGACTTCTTCTCAAGAACCACTGGGCCAATTTTGACCAAACTTGGTACAAAGCATTCTTGGGTGAAGGGGAATTTAAATTATTAAAATGAAGGGACATATCCCCTCGCAAGGGGAGATAATCAAGAAAAGACAAAAATAGGGTTGGGTCATTAAAAAATCTTCTTCTCAAGAACCACTGAGCCAGTAAAGCTGAAACTTATGTGGAAGCATCCTGGGGTAGTGTAGATTCTAAATTGTTCAAATCAAGACCCCCGGGGGAAGGGCGGGGCCACAATGGGGAATCAAATTTTTATATAGAAATATATAGGAAAAATCTTTGAAAATCGTCTTCTCAAGAACCACTGGGCCAGAAAAGCTGAAACTTATGTGGAAGCATCCTGTTATAGTGTAGATTCTAAATTGTTCACATCATGACCCCCGGGGGAAGGGCGGGGCCACAATGGGGAATCAAAGTTTTACATAGAAATATATAGGACAAATCTTTGAAAATCTTCTCAGGAACCACTGGGCCAGAAAAGCTGAAACTTATGTGGAAGCATCCTGGTATAATGTAGATTCTAAATTGTTCAAATAATGACCCCCGGGGGAAGGGCGGGGCCACAATGGGGAATCAAATTTTTATATAGAATTATATAGGAAAAATCTTTGAAAATCTTCTTCTCAAGAACCACTGGGCCAGAAAAGTTGAAACTTATGTGGAAGCATCCTGGTATAGTGTAGATTCTAAATTGTTCACATCATGACCCCCGGGGGAAGGGCGGGACCACAATGGGGAATCAAAGTTTTATATAGAAATATATAGGAAAAATCTTTGAAAATCTTCTCCTCAAGAACCACTGGGCCAGAAAAGCTGAACTTATGTGGAAGCATCCTGGGGTAGTGTAGATTCTAAATTGTTCAAATCATGACCCCCGGGGGAAGGGCGGGGCCACAATGGGGTATCAAAGTTTTACATAGAAATATATAGGAAAAATCTTTGAAAATCTTCTTCTCAGGAACCACTGGGCCAAAAATGCTGAAACATATGTGCCCATGGAAGGATCATGGGGTAGTGTAGGTTTCAAAATGTCTAAATTATGATCAGTGGAGTAGGGTGGGGATGCATTATGTATAACAAGGGGGAAATCTGGTAAAGTACAGAATGGTCAAAGCTTCTCAGGTGAGCGATGTGGCCCATGGGCCTCTTGTTTCTTATTTGAAAATCTTCAATTTAGTGTAACTCATGTTGCTTGTCACGGAAAGTGGGGTGTACTTCCTGAAACATTACGACGGATATTTCTTTCTCATTTCTAAAGAAATGGGCGTGTCTTTATGTTATAAATGACGGTCAAAACATGACTCAGAACATTTCATCCAAATGGAAAATTTTACCACTTCAATGCGCTTCATTGTAAATAAAGCATAGATACACATAAAATAATTTTGATAAAGTAATTCTACATGTTACAATGAAGTACCATTCTTTAAGCGGGCTGGTAAATGCATATAATACAACAAAATACAGTGTATATCCAAACTGTGCAATAACAGTGTCACCCCAAGGTTTTTACAATGCTTGGATCTGTATCTCTTTGGTTTGTTCAAATTTTCTGGACCAGAGATATAACTAAGTAAGTAATTGAGAGTGAGGCATTGCTTCTGTATCACTTTCTGGCCAATACCTGCATTAATAGGTAATGGAGAATCAATTAAAAAATATGATAAGACCATTGTACTGCTGCTAATGCTGATAATAGCAATTAATTCATATGCTTGTGTGCAAATTTTCCTAAGAAAATAAAGGTATTTTCCATGGGTTAACTATCTGTTGTTGTTTTTTAAATATATATTTTGTATATTGTTTCTCCATCTTACCTTTTTACTTTCCTTAATTGTGACAAAGAACATTTATTTAACCTCAAGTTTGCAGCCAAGGATCTTGAAAGGAATGCCAAAAAAAGTGAAAAGTCGGAAAAGGAGGAGAAAAACAAATGTAAAAAGGTATGAACATAAGGAGAGGGGTGTTCTTCAGAATTCAGATGTAAATTTATAAAGAAATACTGTTTGTGCTCAATAATAAAAGCTTTCAGTTCTTGTACAAGTGTTCTACTAGTACATGTACTGATGTATTTCTCAATCTTAATCATTTTTCAATAATTTGTTCACAACATTTTAAATTTATGTAAAAAGGTGTATGTAACACATTTTCCAGGTTTCTCTTTCTTTTTAATGTATACATTAAGTTGTGAACAATCCTGTACATATTCTTGTATATATCAAGTATGATTTGTCTATTTCATTGCTTTGACCAATAACAGGCTATGCAAAAAGGTAATGCAGAAGGAGCAAAGATTCACGCAGAAAATGCCATCAGACAGAAAAACCAGGCCTTAAATTATCGTAAAATGAGTGCCAGGATAGACGCAGTAGCGGCCAGAGTCCAGACCGCTGTCACGACCAAACAGGTATAAAATTTCATAAATAGTTAATAGGCATCATAAAACAGGTTAATCAAGCATTATAGGACAGGTTAATCAAGCATTATAGGACAAGTTGATTAAGCATTGTATTGTTAATTTTGGTTGTTCAACATGTCGTCACTCAGAAGAAATGGTACTGAACTTCCAAAATTACTATTCAGTGTTTATAAATTTCATGATACTTGTAGATCACTAAAATATAATTTCTTTGAATATTAGTATATTATGCATATTTTTAAATGATAAAACACTTGTACAGCTCAATTGAAGGACCAGTTACTGTAGCAACATGAATTTTGATTTTCGTTTATGATTTTATATAATTTTAATCATTTGTGACATCTAAAATGAAAAAAAAACATTTGTCAGATCTTCCTGTACCATGTTTTAAATGCTGAAGTTTTACACACATTTTATAAGGAAAATACATGTGGATTATTAAAATGGAGAAATAAAGCCTGTGCTAAGGGAAATAAATAATAAAATTCCGAAAACTCAACTGTAAAGCAATAAAGGAAATAACGGTATCTGCAAGATTTACAAGCGACAACAGGTCTACATGGTCTAGGATAACTATTCCTATCTATAAGGATTTATGTCTGTTAATGTGGTCAGGTTAAAGGAACCTGTTCCAATCAAAAACTCTGAGAAATTAATTCAGGCAAAAATTTGGAAATGAAAAGAAATCTAAATTTTCAGTGCCATTGTGGCATTTGCAAATTTTTTTTTCAGTCCAAAATTTTCTCCATTTTTTATCTTCATCATGTTCATAATCTATTGGAAAATTGTACTCTTCACAGAAAACTTCCACTTTTAAGGAGGCTGGGGGGTCAACAATTTAACCACAAAGTAACCACCAGATTTAACTTATTTTTTTAGATATGGTATCTTAAGATGTCAACATTCATTTGACAAAGAAAAAATTCATAAATTTTAGTTTTAAATTTTAATCCTTTTCTATATCTTTATATGGAGCTCTCCTTTTAAAGGAGATAGAAATAGTCTGAAAATGGCTGCCACCCCCAGCCTCGTTAATTAGTGCATTTTGGGTTGTTCCTCCTGACTTTTGTTTCTTTTTACCTTCTCAAAATTCACTTATGGTGAATACTGTTCTATCATAGGTAGTGTGCAAATATCATAGTGCCCCCCCCCCC